AAATTGCGTATATAGTATATACACAACCTGATCGCGACACATATACTGAATATCAAGAGCGTATAAAGAAGGAGAGCGTACAACGGTGAAATGCTGAAACCATGTTGCAGTATTAGTCGAATTAATAAACTTTCCCCGTTTTATTTTGACGATTCTTTGATCAGTCACATGAATTGAATTTGAATTCTTTGACCAGTATTATTGATCAGCAGTCCTACCTTGCTAATATAAAACAAACCGCTTGTCCTTACGATGCCCCTACGCTGAGATAATGAGCGGTGAAAATCTGGTATATTCGCCGAAAACCGACTCCAGATCAGTCAGTACTGCGACTGTCTCTCGTTCTGGCGATAGCTTCGGGAAACTTCGCGTGTTTCCGTCATTCATTGACAATGAAATTTAATTTCCTTCTAGTATCTTTTCTCGCATTTCCAGTCATTGACGCAGCCATTACTCCACAAAAACGTCTTGTTATTTATCGCCATGGTGATGACCCGCCCCTTACGCTGGATCAGGAGTAGATAATTCCCTATTATCTATTATCTACTCTTGGCTGGATGTAGTAACGCTGTAGCAATAACGCATCGACTCACCGCTACACAGCGGCGACCGGAAGCAACATACAGTGCACAAAACGAGAGACAGTCGCAGTACTGACTGATCTGGAGTCGGTTTTCGGCGAAAATACCAGATTTTCACCGCTAATTATCTCAGCGTAGAGGCATCGTAGGGACATGCGGTTTGTTTTATATTAACAAGGTAGGACAGCTGATCAATAATACTGCAAAGAATCGTCAAAATAACACGGGGAAAGTATATTAATTAGACTAATACTGCAACATGGTTTCAGCATTTCACCGATGTACGCTCTCCTTCTTAATAATATCAAGAGCTAATAATACATGTATGTATTATTACATAACACAATACATTGTATATATTGTACATACTACATGTATTATTAGCTCTTTATATCATTATAATATCAAGAGCACAAACAAGTTTTATGTACTCTCTACTGTTTCTACTACTTATATACAGTTGTATACATTTGAGTGTACACAAAGTGCGGTGGCACTAATAAAATGCACAGCTTAACGAACGTGACTAATATGTAGCAGGTAATGATGGCGACAGTGAACGCATGCATAATTTTACGAGCAACACACAAAATTCTTTAGCTTATCACATAGGCTTAGCTAACTACAGACACGATTACATCACACTACGCAATAGCGACCTATTAACTACATCACACAAAAAGCGCAACGTATACACACGCTGTAACAATAATAAACAACTTTAACATAAACACAAGCTGTAGTTTATGAGCTTTTGGCAACGAACCGAAAGCAAAGAGCACCTGGTTATTACTATGGCTGACATCTTGCTGACCAAACACAACACACGGCCAATGACTAACATCCACAAAGTAACAAGGTTACATGACAAGAGCAGCCACTGGCGCCCACAGGTCTTAAGAAAGTAGAAGCACAGAAGGATAAAATCCTCAGTGATAATAAAAAGCAAGCGCCCTAGGCGCGCTGCATGCTAGGGGGGTCTGGGGGCATGCCCCCCTGAACTTTTTTGAATGGTAGACGTCTGGAGATGCAATCTGGTGAGTCTTGCGAGAGATTTAAGAACAAAATGTAGGAACAAAATTGTTTAACCCAAAATTTACTAGAAGCACTGTGCTTCCAGTGCTTCTATCTGCGGGCGCCACTGAAGAGCACGACCGTGAGTAAAACACACAACGCAATGAAAACGACCAACCTACATTAGGTAACGACAGACACACGCGCGCACACACACACACACGCACGCACGCACGCACGCACGCACGCACGCACGCGCACAGAGTAAGAACTACAAAACCTACACAAGGTGACTAAGGGCAACGACTAACATTATTACTACATAACTAATATTAAGGAAACGACGATGACGGTGGCGATGGCATTGACACTGACAATGACCATGACGATGACAATGACTAAGGGCAACGACTAACATTATAACTACATAACTAATATGAAAGGAACGACGATGACGGTGGCGATGGCCTTGGCACTGACGATGATACTGACGACGACGATGACGATGATACTGACGACGACGATGACGATGACTCACACGCAGGCGTCCGAGCAGCGGTGCTGCTGCGACAGCGCCAGCAGTGCTTCGGCGTCGGCCTCTCTCACGCGCGCCGCTTCCAGCTCGGAGATGAGCGGAAAGACGACGACGAGGCCGATCATGATGATGATGATGCAGATGGGCACGCACGACGGCCGACAGCAGCGCTGCAGCGGCGAGCGCTTCTGCAGCGCGTTCGTCGCTCGCATCTTGTTGTCCAGCACCTCCAATTCGAACGCGTTCATGATGGCCGAGTCGCGGGGCCTCACCTGCAACACGGTCAAAGCACAGGCGTTAACAACGTGTTCAATGTGTTCAATGTGTTCAATGTGTTTAATGTGTTCAACGTATTTAATTTTTTTTCTGGCCGAGTTCGCGGCCCACCAGAGAGAGCTTCGCGGCCCACCAGTGGGCCGCGGCCCACCGGTTGAGAAGCGCTGCATTAGGTCTCTTGATTTCAGGAGATATTCACTCAATCGCACTAGCTTGTGATTAACTCGCGAAATGGCACTGGTGATGAATAAACCACACCTTTGCTATAATATTATAAATTATTGTATAAATAACAACATGCTGGCCAGTTAGTATATAATCAAGAGCTAATAATATTGTGTATGCGAGGCGCCGTGAGGCCTGTGGGAGGGGAAGTTTACGAGCCAATATCTCAGCCTAGGAGTATCGTATTGACAAGCGCTTGGTTTTGTTTTAAATTATTCTAGACTCGCAGGCAAAGTAGAATAATCATGTTGTGAAATAGCACTATTTTCCCGTTTTTCCGTTGTACACTCTAGGTATAATCACTGCTCTGCCACTAATTCTTTCTGTTGAGAGTTCTATTTACCTCCCCTAGAAAGAAGAAAGCACCAAGGAAATATATACAACACCTTTGTCAGGGACCAAGAAAAACGAATGGAAATGTAACTAAAGAATTAATTTTTTTCCGATGAGCAACCAAAACGAACCCTGAAATCATCGAAATCCAGACTCTGCCCCTCCCTCCGTTCCCCATCTCTAATTTAAAAGAAACGCCCTTTCACGTTGCAACAAACTTTCGGTGTAGTATTTTAGTAAGAGTAGCAGAGTAGTTCAATTGTGCATAGCGCTTCAAGGAACGCGTAGAGTTGTTTTGACCACGGTACGTGAAATCGGTGGTCTCTCCACGACTGCCTTAACGAATGTTGGCTGCCCTAACAACGCAAGTACGAGAGTCTCCTTCCACGTAATGCAATAACGGGAATAGTAAGCACAGTTTTACCGAATAACGTTTGATATTAATCACACACGCACGCACGCACTTACGCACGCACGCACGCACGCACACACACGCACGCACGCACGCACACACACACACACACGCACACACACACACATACACGCACACAACCACGGAACCACGCACGGATAGATAGAATTCCCATGCCGAATAGTTGGAGTCACAAACGTGCAGGAGACATGGACTTGGGTAGGTCCATTTGCATTAGGCAGAGTGTCGCAAGGGGATACTGGCACTCAACAATTAATTACAACACGCGATCGCCCCCACACGCGCATGCAAATTTACATACGATGTGCTTTCAATAAGGTTAGTATCGATCTCAGCGTGCAATTGGGAATACAGGGCTTTCTCGTACATTAGACAACATTAGCGAATGTTTCTATCTAGCTGCATATACTGAACATGTGGCCTCTCGGGTGCACTTCCGAACATTGCGAGCGATAAATCAGTAGAGAAGACGGATAACATCTAAAGCAGCAAACATATCGTATAGGCTTATTCCTGAAGAGGCCTTCTCTGGCAACCACGTACCCAGCTTCAATTCCATGTAATTATATAATTGGTATAGATCCATGCAAGCTCAAGGGGTTAACTACAAGGATTTATCTAGAAGTAGCATCAGCGAAGGATCGCGTGAGATTAGACATGAATCTCGATGGCATTAGTGTACTAGGATAACATCATATACTCGTAATTATATGTATATATGTGTACGCATAAGCATGTATATCTCTTAAATATTTTTAAGTATTATGAAATAAAAAAATTGCCGAATTGGAAACATTCGTATTCATAATAAAGTAGCCAATCCAAATTTCCCCAAATAGACGACGAGGAAATCGTTTAAATGTGCATTACATTTTATTTGCTTTCAAGAATTAAATTCTAAATAAATAACACCATTACTCTCTAAAAAATAACGTGTATCATTCACACAGTCTACAAGTATAAGTGAACGTTTATAGCCAAACTGTTTCTCACATCATTATCAAGACATTAGAAATGCTGATTGCAAAAACGTCAACTTGCACACATTACAGCTTACATATCATAATATTAAAACGTTTTACAAAGAGCCTGTCATACTACAGTCAAACCTCTATTAGCGGTCACCTCCATACAACGGAGAGCTTTCTATAAATGACCTTTTGCCATTTCCCATGAGTGACAGTAATACAGTGCAAGCAACTCTGTAGAACGGACACCTGTATATAAAGGACATCTTTACCTTGTCCCTATAGAGTAGCAGTTATGCCGTGAATCTACCCCTCCAGTACGGACACCTGTATATAAAGGACATCTTTACCTTGTTCCTATAGAGTAGCAGTTATGCCGTGAATCTACCCCTCCAGTACGGACACCTGTATATAAAAGAACGTACACGTCTGTTCCAATGCCGTGCTCTTACGTGACACGTGGCCAGTGCTTTTTATTACAACGTTTGGCGACATCATAGTATCAGGAGTGTATAAAATAGACTATATTAATTATATAATATAGTCTACATTATACACTCCTTATAGTATCCCATCTTCTATGTTCCATGTTCCATGTTATCTATAATCAGAACACAGACTGTTCGTCTGCCTACCTGCCACGATGAGGGATCCTTCACCTGTGGAACATCAGACCCTCTGAGCGTCCAGTAGGAAGAGGCTATATCTATGCTCTCCTCTGCAAGGTCAAGTAAGGTCATCCAGCCCTCGAAGACGGACACGTGCGACCTGTGCCGTGAGTCGAACGTCATGTTTTCCGGGATGCTCTCGACCAGAGTGAGTCTGCAAGATGGGAACAGGTATTTGACCTTCGTTTCTTCTTCCTTGCGGCGGCAATTAATCTATGTGCACACTGAATATGCTCCAGTCTACATACGTTCGTGCTACAATCGTATGAATAACCTTACACACATTCCCCTCACCACAATTCGTATAATTATAAAAAGATAAAAGCCTGATCTAATTATATGCTGATCAGGAGCTAATAATGATTTGTCATTATTAGCTCCTGATGCTGATGTGTAATAAATAAATAAATAAATATATATATATATATGAGAGATCTATTGATAAATGATTTATTTTGCTATGACTAAGAGACTTAATTGTTTCTTATTCCTCTTATCGTCACATCATCATTCTTATCTCAGGCTATCATATAATCTATGATATATCTAATAATCATAATTATGGTACCATACTGGCGATCAACCGGTATAGTGTTAACATTAACGTAAGTAATATAATGATTGTAACAGAGTTATTACAATCCCCCACGATAGTAGCAAAAGCAAAGCAATTAAGTTTGCTGGCTTGAGAAGTATCCGAGAGAAATTTGCCACGCGCTTTAACTGTTTCACTGAATATGGTGTACGTGTGTCATAAACTGCGCCAGCTTCTGCGAAATTGCAATCAGGAGGCTTCACATAAAACATACTATTCAGTGCTCAGGGATATTTTCCTTATATTCGTCAAAGCACGCCGATAGCGAAGATTGCTTATGAACGAAGCACCATTCAACACTAGTTACACCTATTATATGATTAGATTATATGAAACCCTTCACTCTGTCGCACGCTGCAGCAGAGCGAACGTCTATATATAGACACTATATGCTAATATAAAAGCTATATATACAGCTAACCGCCCCTGCATATATCTAACTACGTACATCATTCTGCGATGTCTAACTACGAATGCGACGTAGATCATACACTAGACGAGATTATAATCTCACGATCTCATCCGAGATCGATCGATCGATCTCAGGTTTTATCACATGAGCGATAGATCCTTCATAAGCAGATGGACCGCCTAAATATCACGTTAGTGCATGAACCGATTTTTTTGAATGATGAAATTTTATTTTAAAAACGCATTTTACGTACGAAATGCGCAAAAGTAATAGTCAAGTTCACAAAAACTCAATACTGCGATGAGCTTAAAGGCAGGATAATACAACCTAAAAGGAATGTATCGTCACTACATGGTCTAGGAACAATGGCTCAACGTACATAATGCGCTAGACGGACACCGCTTTATCCCGGATAACTTACACCAGGTATTCTGTTACGATCTCATCATTAAAGTCGGCAAGGTGAAGAGACTATGCGGTACTCCTACTGGCGCCACGAGAAACTCGATCTGGCCATTCGAGAGCGAGAGCGAGAGAGAGCTTTAGTGGTGCTCACACACTGAGTGTCGTGTTTTGAACACGATCCCTGTGTGGAGAAATTCCACATCCTCTTCTAACAATCCATACGTGCCTGCGCGGTCGATGTGCTTGTCAGCTCTTCCTTGTACGCTCATATTATGTTCGAGAGTGTTCCCCATATTTCTATATTAACATCGGCTTGGCGCGCAGCGAGATAAAAGCAGCGATGGCTGTACGATGATATAAGACATAACCGCGATTCCAGGAAATTTTAGACATGCAGCCTTTCACTTGTATGTCCGCCCATATATATTTCAGAAACCTGGGGAGGAGAGACCGGCAATATTTCGTCGTAATATCAGTCCGAGTCGTAAACTTTTCCATTAACGACACTAATCGTTATCGTGTATATTGTTCAGATGTTTCTGAAAACGGCCCCTCTGTATGCACGGGTCTCGGGCGCCACGCATGCGCCGAGAGCTGGCAGACTCTCGTGGGATAGCGCGCAGAGTGCACGTAAAAGGTGCATGAATGTTGCATAATCCACGCTTTAATACCAGCGATAGTGTTTTGACGACGATCCGCTTTTATTACTCAGCTCGTGCGAGCGTAAACATAAGCTCAGCAGTCTGAGAGCGCTTTTCTCGCTAACATTGCCTACAATACTCCAGATCCTTGAGTGCCCGTCGTCGTGAGGCTGCATGAATGCTTCTTCACGGACTAATAACGCTTCGCAGAAATACTAGCGAGAAACGCTCGTATTTCACGATGGGTTCGGAGAAACAGACCGAGTATCTATCTAATAAGCAATTTGATGTTGACGCTGCATGCGTAATTATTTTAAACGTCGCACAACAACAGATCCGAGTCACGGCAAGATACTTATGATTCACAATAATATCAGAAATGGTAGTTTTTTCCCTTTTAATTAACGGCGGTACACGTTGAACCGAACGCACTTGAATATATACCAGAAAGCTAATTAGGCACCTTGACATTGCAGTAACTAGAATGCGAATTCGCTGCTAGTTGCGGCCACTTGACAGCGTTATATTTCACTTGGTTTAAAGCGCGAGCGGTTCTTGTCATCCAAAAACTTTCCACGATCGATTGCTCTTTTACACCGAGTATTATCAATTTATCAAAGGGTAATAATACCTTAAAGTGTATAATGTATTATTAGCTTATGGTATTATCACGTGCGAGAGGAGGGGAAATTACACTAGAAGGACGAATGTCTCACGGAAACGCCCGAAGTGACACAATATCTTCGGAAACAATCTGACGGAGATGCTCGAGGCGAGACACGATATCTTACTTCGTATAATGTCATCGGTCTGCGATCGCGAACGCACACACATACACACACGCACACACACACACACACACACACACACACACACACAAACGCGCGCACACACGCACGCACGCACACGTATGCACGCAAACGCACGCACACGTATGCACGCAAACGCACGCACATACACACCCACACACGCACGCACACACAAACACACGCCCGCACGCACGCACACACGCACACACCCTCACGCTCACGCACACACAAACACACGCCCGCACGCGCACACAGCAACACGACAAGCACGCACTTGTCACACTACAAAGCTCACTCGGACAGCGGTCCCAAATGAACTGACAGCAAAGAAGCCAACAGTAGTTGATTGCTGCCATTCTTTTCCTAATGCCCTACTTAACAGCAGTGGGAGTTCCCAGCAGCAATAGCCAGATATTAGGACAAAGGAAAATCTGGCTGGTTATAATTCAGTAGGTGGTAGCGCGCTGATAAAATAATTCTTCTTCGGCTTTGCAGGATAATCTGTAAGAGATGCTACATCGTTCATATTGGACGGCATATATCATATAATACATATAATTAATATAAAAAGTATCGAATAATAAGAAGTAAATCTATAATAATACTATTAACGACGCAGCCAATAAAATGCGACTGTTTAAAAGACACAACGAAGAAACGTCTGATCTGACGACGTCCTTACCGTTTAACAACGATGATATCCGGAAACTATTTCATTGCAGAGCATGCAAGCAGATGTCCACACTATCAGCAGAGACCCGACATCAAACAATGCCGTGTATGTTGGATAAACGCGCGACAAGAGTGACTCCATGCAGGAAGAAGTCTTGCGCTGACTGGTTAATTGGACTATATATCTATCAAACGCGGAACTCATAGGTATATATATATAGTATAATAATATATTAGATATTATTAAGCATGCATAATCAGCTACATAATGCTAACCAGTCTCCCGCTCTGCGCGCAGCAAGTACCGGACCGTGACAGTGCTTAATTATTACCCCTAAAATTAAAACCGGCATATGACGCGCACCGGTGCCAGTCATCCTCATCCACTGGAATGGTCTCCTCAACGGCGAGTCGCTACAACCATCGGAAACGCACCGAGATAGACCACGCTGCGAACAACTCATAATTGTGAGAGTAGTCGTTCATAAAGGTGAAGTGCATGCAATGGCCAGAAGGCCTACCATTGAATACTAGCCGCGTGTGTGGTTGTGAGTGGTGTGTGGTGTGTGTGAGTGTGTGTGTGTGTGTGAGTGTGTGTGTTGTGGGTGTTGTGTGTGTGTGTGTGTGTGTGGTGTGTGTTGTGTGTGTGTGTGTGTGGTGTGCTGTGTGTGTGAGTGTTGTGTGTGTGTGTGCGTGTGGTGTGTGTTGTGTGTGTGTTGTGTCTCGTCTGTCTTCTGTGTGTGTGTGTGTGTGTGTTGTGTTGTGTGTGGTTGGTGTGTGTGTGTGTTTGTGTGTTGGTGTGAGGAGGACGTGCGCGGTTGCCGCGGACGTCACTGGCAAGTTGCAAATGTTCTCTGCTAAGTGGCCGACACTAGTATTTTTCCTTCGATTTGCTCCGCGACGTAAACGCAGCTAGACCGACATCTTGTTCAGAACATCTCCATCGCTAAATACATTTAGCCTCGAACTGTCAGTCAGTAGACTTACTGTTAGATTAATGTCTGCAGCACGTCCTGAGCCCATTACTTATATCCGCGGGCAGCGATACTGTTTGACATCAATCCGCAATGCGGCGTCGTGCACATTGCCACGCAAGTTCCCACAGTTCCGATTATAAATCCTCCATCCTTCGATTGATTTCCTTGACATGGTCCATTTTACCGTATAGGAAGCTGAATTATAGGGAGTGCTCAGTATGGTGGCTAGCAATCCAAGCGGCGATTTCTCCATATGCGAAAAGCGCGATCCTATGCCCGCGATGTAAAAAAAAAAGTTAAACCTACCAAGCGATCAACCGCGCATTTGCGTACTGTTTTGCGCCCCATTTTTTTTTGACATCGTGTTTTTCGCTCGCACTTTCGACCTGCGCCTTTTCACATAACTACATTGCTTGCAGTCAGTTGTCGCCGAACGTCGGCTAGTCCACCTGTAGGACGTACTCAGGACTTACAATAGTCCTATATTGGATCCGACTCCTGAGTCTGTATACGTTTGCATCAGCGGCTAACCTCTCACTCGTACTCATTCATCAGCGCAGCAGTCGCTAAAAACATCGCGGATCCCGCTAAAATGCTTTAAACGGCTTTTTGAGAAGCTTCGCTAGCGCGCTCTCGTCCCTGT